CAAGGTAATTTGTTATGATAGTGTACACTTTTCATTCCTTGCTGGATTTGTCTGGTAGTTAGTAGGATCTTGGTAAAGATTTTTGCATCTCTGCTCATGAAATGGTGGTCTCTTGTTTTCCTTAAGTTTATCTGACAAGTAGTTGTCCACTAAACCACTTTATACCTAAAAATGGCCCTCAAGCTTTTGGGCAAGAAGGGGGGGGGGGATTTCAGGACATAAGAAATCTGTTTTTGTTTTTTTTTTTTTTTTTTAAGGCAAATGTAACAAAAGCATCTCCGTACGTATCTTCTCAAAGAGAAGGCACTTATATAATTTGTTCCTTAGGTATTTGGTAGAACTTCAATAAAATTAGATTTTCTGAAGGGAACCAGATGACTGAAATGCAACAAAGGACAAGAATTTCACCATTTCCCTTTTCAATTTTACCTTGTGTGTTTCAAATTACAACACAACATCAATACTTTTAAATTTTTCTGTTTGGGTGGTAAGCACTCATAAGACAGAATTATCAAATATTCTAGCTTTCTGAAAATTAGATTAAAAACTCCACAAGTCTATATGTTAAAATAAGGAACTATGATTCAGTCTATTCTGTTTTAAATGAGGGTTGAAAATACCTCAAGTATGTAACACGTATCTCTGCCACTTAACAGAATATCATAACAGGAAGACGGGAAATCCAGGCTTCAGGGGAGGCTACTTCCTAAACGTAAAGGCTTGAAATAAAGCCAACTTCTGGGTGAGCTTCCAAGAGCTAGCCAATAAAGACATTTTGCTTTCCCATGATGAGCTCTCCTCAGCGTGTCCCATCAATACCTCTACTGACCACTTATTCCCAATCTATCTGTCTAGTGCAATCTTAGCTTACTTTCAGCATCACCTCTTTATGACTCAGTCCCCAAGCAGGATGCCAACTCTACCTGTGCTGCAACCAGAACACTCAAAGGAGGCTGGCTAAAAAAAATAGGCAGGCTGGTGTTCCTCTGTAGGAGCTACAAAAAGATCAGGTTGCTTCTTCCAATTCAATTTCTCCCAACCACTGTTCCCTAAGTTACTGTTAAGGTAATTTAGTAATTTTATCCTTTTTTACAAATGAAAATATTTTCAATTATTTAAAAACACTTTCCTTTTAGAAATGAGAAGATGACCTAGTATTCAGTCTTATTAGCATGTTCATTAATAATTACATGACTAGGTACTATCTCTGTACCCTGTAATTCTGCGCGCACTTGTGAGCTCGATTCTTCTCCCTCTCTCTCTCTTTCTCTCTTCCCCAGGTACTTTCCTACTCTCTGTTGATTTGCTAATAAGTGAACTCCTTCTCCTTTAACATGCAAAAGATGTACATTCCACTATCTCCCAGGACACCAAGTGAAGATGTGGTAGTGAAAGCAAGGATTTTAAATGAGTCTTAAAGCCCTTTACATTTGATCACTAGTGATTAACATATTCATTCAAAACAAAACACACAGTGATTCACCATTCATCTCATTACTGGTAAGAGAAATAGGTCTCCTGAGAAAACGTCCTCTGTCCTACTTACACTGCCTCCCACCAAGACTGAACTCAATATCCACAGAGGAAAAGCGTCCTTGCATTAACACAAGGAAGGAAGCACTCTAACACAACATACAAAGAGATGAAATGTTAAGAAACAAAACAAAATGAAAACCAGAAGCTTCAATGTTTTTTTCCTAGCTTCTATATGGAAGGATGGCAAGCATGCCAAGAAAGACAACATTATAAAAGCTACTCGGAGCTAGAGAGAAGGCCTGCTGCTCAACTATGAAGACCATAGTTCTGGCCCCAGCACCCTCACACATACCCCCAACACCGTTCCCCTCAATAAGCAGGGCTTGGTTACCCATGTGCGGTGAGGGGCAGAGACAGAAGGATCAGTGGGGTTTGCACGGTACCAGCCTAGCTGAAAACGTGAGCTTCTCCAAGTTCAGAGCAACCTGCCTCAAATGACTAAGACAGAGAGAGGGCAACAGAAAATGCCAACACCCTCTGACCTTCTTTTGGTACAAGCAGGGGCACAGGCACCTACATACACACACACACACAAACACACAGCTGAGCAGAAGATACTGTATTTCCTTTTCTCATAGTACCAAAGCCTCCTCTTACACAGTGAGGCATGTATCTAATGGCCATCAATTATCGGATCTCAAGTATCTGAGGTCCAATAACAGAAACAGCAAGCAGCCACCTCTAAAAGCCAGGCACTTTCCACAGGAGGCTCCTCCTAGGAGAAACTGACTCTTATTTAGGCCAATAGTTCTCAGCTTCCATGTGGCCCTTCTGGAAAACACTTTCCAATTTCCAATCTACCACTCTGAAATGAAATGAGTAACTATCTTTGTACAGAATTCCAAACAACCCCATTTATCCTAAATTAAGTAAAAGGAAAGAGGAAATGAAAACTACACTATAAAAAAGGATGTCAACATATGAATGCTGGGACAAAATGATTAGTAACTGGACATCACTGCATTGCAAACCTGTTTATGATGCAATGCCCCAAAACTATAAGCAATTTCTCATCAAGCTGTTAACAGAACAAATCTTCCTTTAATTGTGACAACAGGAACATGCAGAAAGAAATACAAGAAACCTCATTCTTGGTTACAAATATGACTTTATAAAGTGGAAATTTCAAGCTCAGATAATTAAAAATATTACAAGACTGTCAAGCATGGTATTACTAAGCCATGAAGGACACAGGGACATTCTCTATTCAAGATATCCCACACACAGCAAAAAGTATAGCATCCCTGCCCCCTTCCATCACATGTTTGTGGTGAATACCAATTACAACCACTAACAAAATAATAATACTAGTAAGAGTGCTAATTCTCCCCTAAAGAGCAAACCCCCTGGACCAACTAGCTCCCACCCAATTCAGGTATGAATCACAGTACTGGAGTTCGGATCTGTTACCTATGAACTATGTGATCACTGGCTAATGAGTTAAGTTCTCTAAACCTCCGTTTCCATGGTACCAAAGAGAATCAACACTACAGGGCTGTCTGGAGTGTCAGGATGACTCAACAACACTGTAGCAGCACAGGGTAGGTGGTTTACAACCCATGGCTTTTTGAAATAGGAACAAGAGGGCTGTGTCCTGCAGCATCAGTGCGGAAGAAATGTAACCTAAGGGTGAGGAGTCTAGAAAATTTAAGGGATAAGTTAAGAGTGTCCAGAAAAAAAAAAAAAAAAATATCAAAAGGTCAGAACGGTGGAATGGAGAATAAAGCATACAAAGGAAGGCTATGAAGACATTATAGGATCTCTGCCCATGGAAGGATATGAAGGACACTGACTGTGCCAGAAAACGGGTGCTTAGATGGCAGACATGAACTGCCTGGTAACACTGAATAATGGCCAAACTTAAAAACACACACACACACACACACACAAATTATCATTGCAGCCCCTGAGGTAAAAACACATTTTCTTCACATGAACAAGCAAAAAGAACCTCAGAGCAGAAAAGAGTCTTGAGTGCTTTTCTTCCTGGTTCTGGGGGTGGAAATCAGGCAGGCCTCAGCCTCCAGGGTGCTAGGATCACAAGGCCTTCACCACCATGCCTCGCCTGCTCCTTTAATAAACAAAATTCTTCTTAATTTATAGACCTCCTGAACTAGAAGCAGCTCGTGATAACCTATCCCCGTCCCTTGATACCATTCCAGGCAAATCCGAGCCCTTCCTAAACACATTAATTAGCAATACCTTACATCACCCTTGAAAAGCAGGAGGTAAGCTAGAGTATTATTAGCCTTTTTTTTATTACGGGGAAACTGGGGAACAAAAAGATTAAATTACAGCATGTCACAGAATGAGCCATCATATTTTCTAGTACTTTAATTAAAGGCTCCAAGCCCACATTACAGAGATTATTCCTCCTATCTTAGAACTTTTACTACTGCTACCACCGAGACACCAAGAGGAAAAAAAACACCTACAGTAACTTAAAAGACATTTTCCTAATTTGGTACTTGTCACCCCAAGTTTTAAAATTCCGGGCACTGTACGCAGTAATCTACCCCTCCCCCACCCCTGGAGGGAAAAAAAAGAGAGAGAGAGAGAAAGGAGGACACTTGTAAACAGCACCACGGGTCGGAAAACCTGGGTCCACGTTTTACTCTGGCTGTGTGGCAGGCAATACAAGAGTTGGCTGATGCTGGCGGAAAAGGTGTCCCGGGGGGCCAGCTCGGCCTCGCCACCCCCGCAGGCTCATCACTCCAAACATGACCCCCAGCGCTCCCCCCTTGGCCCCGCATTGCACCACGAGCCTCGCGGTATCAACCCGGGCCTGGGCTAGGCCCTGGCCGCCGGGCCTCCGTGAGCACCGGAGCCGCACCTAGCCGGCCCCTTCCCAACCCCGGCCGCCCCCGGCCCCCGCCCCGGCCCCGGCTCCCACGCGTTCTCACCGCCCGCCCGGCGTCCCCCGTCCCGGGGAAGCGAGGTGGCCCGCGCAGGTCGGCGGAGCACAGCACCCGCCGGGGTCCCGGAGCCGCCGCCTATCAGCGGAGCGCAGGGGCGGGGCCGGCGGGGCCGCGGGGCCGCGGGCGGGGGCGGACGGGCG